TTATTTTTCTTTTTTTAATATACATGCATTAGTCTTTGATCTTTAATATTATATCATTATTGCTTTAGATATTCCCCTTGAACTAAGAATAGAATGCTATCTCCATAAAAATATACACATATAAAAGTAGTTCTCCCTTTTCCTGGGGAAAAAGCAATCCAAGTATATCTTCTAGAATAGTCAAGTTTTTGTTTTAATTATAATTAAAGTCTTGGTCATTTATTAGCTCTAACTTACATATTTAAAGAAACATTAGACAACCATTACATTTAGAAAGGCAAAGTGTCATTATCAAGTAAATCAACGTGTCCCTTCTCCCACCAATGAATGAAGCAGTGACATACATTAATTTTATTAGTTATGATACATTCCTGCAATCCCTAATTCTCTTATCCACCCTCATGTTTACCATGTGTGTACGTGTGAGTTGGTTAGAATGCACCGACCATCTAACGATCAACAGCAGGATGAGTTAGGCTTGGGCTTTTGATGAAGATTGACAGTGTCTGTCTGAATCAAGTGATTGGACCTATCCTTGGCAGCGAGAACTCTTCAAACTGCTTTCTCAAAGGCTGCTGCAACATTGGTGGCATCTTTTGCACTTGTCTCAAAGTAAGGATAGTTGCCGTTGTCCCTGCACCAAGCTTGGGCTTCTTCTGTAGACACCTGCCATTCACTTATGTCGACCTTGTTGCCCAAAATCACAAAAGGAAAACTTTCAGGCTCTTTCACATCTTTGTAATATATGAATTCTTTCCTCCAGTTACTCAAGTTCTGGAAACTCTGTGAATCATAGACACTAAAAGTAAGCAGGCAACAGTCAGAACCTCTATAAAAAGGCATCCTCAGGCTTCGGAATCACTCTTGACCAGCCGTGTCCCAAATCTGCATGGTGACAAAATGTCCATCCACCTCCAGATCTTTATTTAAAAATTCCACACCTATTGTATGGAAGAGCTGGGCATCAAACTTATTAGTTCCATATCTGTTCATAAGAGAACTCCCCAACTCCACCAT